GCAGTGGACGCCGCCTGGCGCCTTGGACGCCGCCGGGCGCGCAGTGGACGCCACCCAGCATTGCCGATCGTCGAGAGATCCCCTGCGAGTACCTCTGTTCGCATCTTGTACTTTGTACATAGATTACTTCCTCTATGGAAAGACTATGGTACCACGACCTCGAAATTACAAATTGCAAACACGGAAATAGCAAAAGTTCATGCTCTGATTTTCTTATTCATACTTACGTTACTTACTTAAAAAAAACCATATGAACTGCCAAAAAATTCAGGAAAGGCCACCAAATTACATTTATCTTGATATAGTAATTTTTAACTGATTTAAATTCAATATTTGTTTTGTAAAGTTCAAACGTTATTTTTTTTTTCATTATGGATGTTACAGAAAACAGAAAAAAGGAGCAAAAGTTTATTTTGTTCTTCGATCTACGATAGACAGAAATAATGTTCTTTGGCGAGCACCCTTAAGTCCTCATTTATTTAGTTGACATCTTGAGGAATTGGAATGTATTGCTTCCAATATTATATGATTTTCAATAATGCTGTGAAAACTACACTTATAAAACTTGACTTTTCCTTTGCCACAGTGGTCATATTTAGTTTATTTATTACAATGTAAACACCTTATTGAAGTGTAATTGGGTAAAGTTATAATTGTAACTTGTTTATATTTACAAAAATAAAGTTTTAGTTTTATATTTTGCGTTTCATTAAATTATTTCATACACTAAACATTTTAAACCTGTCTTTACTAATAATGTAAAGAGGAAAGATTTGTATACTTGTATGTATTTGATTCACGTAAAACCACTGAACCGATTTAAAAAGTTCTTTCACCGTTAGAAAGGTAATTTATCTTTGCGCAATATAAGATATCCTCAGCCCTACTTCGGGTCGTAGGCCAATAACAAGAAGAATATAGGCTATACTGTACTATTATTAATATTTAGGAACAATTAATATACAGCGTATATCTGCACTCCGGCGTTAAAAATTTACTAAACCACGCCTTTCCTCGGCTTATTCTGGCTAAACCATCATCAGCAACTTGCCTTTGCCCCTACGGTGGGTCGGCACAGCCATTTATGCCAATAAATATGCATGTTACTCTGAGAAATCCATAGAGATTAAAATTGTCTTTTACTCTATATAAATTGGACAAATAGTTTAGAAAATATCGTGAACACAAATAATGAGGCGAACCGAAAAATCGGCTTGCAAACTACTGGGTTCAGAAATATGGAATCTTGCATAGAAGTTTCTGTTAATATGTTTACTACTAATGAATACGTACAAAGGGTTTTACGGAATTTATCCCCCACGCACTCTTTGACTAAACTATCGCATAACTGTTTAGTTTCGTAGTGATTCCTATGAGTTTATATGGAGGTGCACACACTACTCGATTTTTAGTTGTACAACTAAAGAGTTGAATTTGCTGCTAAACAATCGACAATCGCTCTACGATTTAGCGATAGTTCAGTCAAAGGTTTGCACCCGCTCTAAGAACACATTCAAATACGGGGCGAATGTAAGTTCTACAACTTTAGAGCCTTACAAATAAATACTCACGCGAACGAAGTTGCGGGCTATGTTTAGCGTAAAAATAAGAGGCAATGTTGATTTTATTAACATTTATTGAATAAATAATACAAAATTGGTTTTCGGATCATTTTTTTAAATTAATTTCAAATGCAAACTAAAAATGAGCAACAAACTCCCGCAGATTTAGTTAAACATCGGAGACATTTTACGTACAATTACAGACATAATCAATATTTTGCAAATAGACTTCAACTTGCATTGAAATTTTCAAATATAAACAAATACACAATTTATTAAATGTCGCGGAAGAAAATGTGTTGACTTCCTGTAGAAGTGAAATATTATTGCTAAAATTTAACATAGCAATTACAGCAAAGTACAGTTTGACATAAACGAATTACATTTCAGAGGTAATTAACGTCTTTATAAAACGGGAACATTGTATATAGATTAAATGCTTAAGAAAATGCGCCCAAACAAATACAGAAATGCCAAGAATAAATACAATATACAACTAATTAACAAGCTTAATCCGCCTCGAATGTACACATAGCTGTCTGTTGCCGCGCACAGACCAATGCGGGAAGGTAGCACACCGCAAACAATACGTCTTTTATGTCTCTGCCCACCCTCCTAGTGACAGGTGTTCATGCTTCTCGCATTGAGTCTGTTTTAACTATCTAAACGCATTCCCGCCAGCTAATGTTACGATACATAACATTTGGTAAGCCTGGCGCCTGAAACCGGCGCCCGGTTCTGGCGCCAGACGCCGGCGTCCGATCCAGGCGCCAGAATAGGGCGCCCGCAGGGCACAGTGCTACTACATTATAATTACATTGTGAAAGTAAATCCCCGATCCCCTAAGTACTATACACTTAACTTACTTCAAATGGGTTCTTGTGAGCTCAGTCACACTGCAAGGAACTAATATTAAAAAGTAAGTTTAAATATGAAGGGTTTTTTATTTTTATTGTTAAAATGTAACAACTAGTGTGACCGAGCCTCTGCAGTCGCTTTGTTCAACAAATGAAACTTATTGCGCAAGTTATCTTATATTATACTACACATTTGAAACAGTAGGCCAATATTTACAGCTTCTTCATTATATAGATACATTTCAACTTGTCATCTTCGTAAAATGAAATAGTTAAAAACTTACTAAAACGTACTGTATTCTGAACCCATTAAATTGTAGCAAGATGACGTCAGATCTTTATTACTATTACATTTAATATTTAAAACAAACGACAAATCTCAATTAATTGTGACAAGATAAGCTAAGTCGTCCCGAGCATCCGTCCCACTCACACACACAAAAACTACAATTTAAAATGTTTACACATAAATAATTATGTACAGGGGCTTATACATTTTAAAATAGAAACTTAGAACCGATCGAATCTCAGACGAACATTTTCAATAACAATTTTGATAAAACAGCTCGACTTCACCGATATACACAATTTATACACAACTACGTGATACTGCACAATATACAAATACATCCTGCAGGACCAGGCCGAGACATCGCGATGGACTTTCATAATTTACAAACAAAATACACCACCTTCAGACAAAACCGACGCCAAAATACTAATTTAAAAAAATCACAAAAGCGATTGCAAACGTACGCCAACATTGGCTCTTAATAAATCGATTAATTTAGAAATGCTACCGAGGTTGACGATTGACCATCGATTGTTGATAAAAATTGTAAGTCAACTCGATTAAATTTATTATCTAAACATCGATATTGAATAAAGTCGACACATCTGTGACGTCACCGCGACGCGCCTCCGCTGCCGCATACAACATATCGAGAGATATTACATTTGAAAATTTAGACGATTGTTAAAATTTATACATTAGAAAATTTATAGATAATAAAGTTTGTTTAAATGTTGTATATGAGTTGTGAGGCGGGCGGGGCCGGGGGCGCTCACGAGGCGTACATGCGCTTGATGTCGTCCTTGTAGCGCTCCTGGATGTCTTTC